CTGAGATGCGCTGTCAGTCGGTCACAAAGTAACTCTGAACCCAGGAGAGAAAACATCTTCGCCTCACTGTCTCTAATCCCAACTTCTGCCTTCAAACTACCATAACAAAATAGCCTGATTAGACACACAACTTACTCTCCCTACATTTATCTTAATTCTTCCTTGTCTGAATTGAGTGAAATTAGCCTAGCATGAGCAAAATAAGAGAAGGATCTGGGCGAAGCCATGAAGCCAGCTCTCAACTCTGGAGCAGAGCTCAAGAATCTGACTCCTAAACTCATCTACACAGGTACGGCACAGAAGTCAGCAAAACAATCCAGGTGGTCGAGCTTTCCCGTCCTGTATCCTACTCCAACCCTCACTGTGCTGCAGGACAGGCCTTGCTCAAAAGTGCTCCTGAGCCAAGTATGGTGGTGCACGCTGTCTATAATCCCAGCACTCAGGAGGCTGAAGTAGGAAGATCCCCGAGTTCAAGGCCACAGTGAGTTCAAGGCCAGCCTGAACTAATAGTAACAGTACTCAAACCAAAACCAAACTCCTCTGCACCTTTAATATATTGCGGAGTTTATGAAAACCAATCAGGTAAAGGGGCTGTTGCAGAAGCTGCAATTAGTTTCACCAAAACATCAAGGGAATGTTAGACATGTTTTACATTTACATATATTTACCATATTGTTTTTCTTGACTTTAAAGGCCTCCACAAGAAGCTAGAGCATTATCTGCATTATGGACTCCTGAAATGACCTTGGTGACAAAACAACATACAGTTAATTTAATTAACCCCATAGACTAAAGCTGTGTTTGTCTGGTATAAGACCCTTAAAAAATGTAAAAACTAAGTAGATAAGGAGTCTATCTGCCATCTGTAAGCAAGTCACCACTACTCAGAAGCAGGTGACCAAGGTTCTGGTCCCAAAGATGGTATAGTTAATTGTACAACTGCATTACATATGTCAGTAAGGCTCTGTGGGTCTTACCAATGAGTTGCCTAAGAAATGTTTAGTAAGTGCCTCCCAGCTATAAACTTTTGGTTTATTAATTGAAATCACTGACCTTTTCCATCCTGCAGTACATGAAAACAATAAAAGTAAGCAATGTAATAGCAACGGTAGCATTTTTAATTTCTCTATTAAAATCCACGGCATGATATGGGGTCCTATCAAACTGAACTGGAATTTCTTCAGGCTCCATCTGCTATCAAAATGTACTCTTTTTATTTCAGGGAGCTGAGCGATCAAAGACAACATTTTCTTGGCACGTGTGTATGTACTGCACATATGAGGCTACCCTCAGGAAAACATTGTAAAGCGTAGCAATGAAGAACACACATTAACAGTGAACGCAATCGCTCCCCCATGAGTTCTACCTCCTAAGTGTTTCTTTTGGGCTTGTACAGTAGCTGGTTGAGTGCTTAAGGCACATGCAGGGCACTGGGTTCTATCCCTAGGACCACAATCAATCAATCAAAATAAAGCTGAATACAAATTTTAAAATAAATGGTTCTAAAAAAAAAAAAAAAAAAAAAGAGGCCAGGGAGATAGCTCAGTGGAATAGCACTTCCCTAGCAAGCTCAAGGGTCTGAGTTCAATCCTTGGTCCGCCAAAATATAAAAAAAATAAGTTACAGTCAACTGGTTTGGGTTTCAAACACTGTTTTAGACAAGCGTGCTTGTTAATGGTCCGCAAAACTAAAAGAGATTTATGGCTCCAAATTCTGTGCCTTTGGGACGCTATCCAACGTGTATGAAATGGTCATTTTTTCTACTCCAAGTTAATACGTTTGTTTGAAATTGTGGCTTGAAGTCCTTTTATCTCAGACTTACACTTCTCCAATCTTTAATTCCTACGTTGCCCTCTTACGACTCTGCTAAACTTATCAGAACATGGGATTATTAATTTTCTGTATTCTTTGTTTCATAATTTTCATTCCCCCAAAACTCAGTGGATTACGGGCAAAGTGAAAGCAAAGATGATTCCCCCAAAACAGAGCAGCCAAGAGAAAATGTGAAATGCTTGAACATGTTATGAAGCAGTTAATCTGAACTCACATGATATCTTCAATTAGATACAAAGACTCTTTAGGATTGAGAGAAGGCAAATTCTTTATCTTACAGATAAGAAAACCAAAACCCACAGAGTAGCTAAGTGACCTGCACACAAGGATACATTTAACCAGGTAACAATTATGGTCTCACACAGGAAATTATACATCATCACCAGGGATGGTTCTTTTTACATAGCTGAGGACAGCCCCATGAAGTCTGTTCCCAAAACCACTGCAGGTAGCCACACCGGTAACAATCCCACAACTAAAGTCATTTGTTTAGATGGAAATA